AATTGCCTTGAAAACTGCAAGGACTCGTCCAAGCAGTCACTGCAGGGTCAGCAATGACTGAGCGCAGACCAAAAAAAACCCAAAACCTAATTAGACATAACTATTTCAGTTTAAATATTTCAGAGTAATCATGCAGGATCCTATCATTTACATCTTTATGAAGAAGTCCTAATAATTTCCATGGGCTTACTATTAATTAACATTTAGGGTTACTACTTGATCTAGCATGTGTTCACGCTGAGCTAAAAATCAAAGGGCAAATTAAGTAAATTGCAGAGGACTTTATGCAATTTCAACCTTTATTTATTTATATTATTCTTTCTATGCCCAGGGGGGCTATACAAAGAATAAGATGAGAGCCCAAAGGTACCTGCAATCTAGAAACAAATACAAGAAGAAAGAGAATGGACATAGAAGTGGGGGCATTGGTTGAATCTCTGATTATTGCAATTTATATATTCAATACTACTTACACACATATAAATTTGTAGTCTTATTAAAGTTAGTTCCAGCAACAGGAAATCTAAATGTTGATTTAGGCCCCCCTTCCACTAGATTAACTAATTTTACAAAATCAATTTTATTCACATTCCTTATTTACTACATAAATCAAAAGCTGCAATCCCAATTTCTTGCCCAAATGTGATTTCTTTTAAAAAATATTATTAAAAGTGTTTTTCTTAAAAAAAAAAAAAAAGGAAGAATCAAACAACTCTTTCTAGTTATAAAGCTAATGACACAACACCTATTTCCAGGGGAGCCTTCTCCCACTTTGGATCAGTGATGCATTATGTTCTGTGTCCTGCATATTAAATCACTTGCAGTTATTACTTTTGCCTTAATTTATTTGCCTACTCAGGCCTATTTTTTAAACGAGATAATGGAGAAGGAGATAAGGAAAATGTGCAGCCTCTGGCCAACTACGGGTGACCTCGAAAAGCCAAGCAGGTTCGGGCTGGATGAGAGACCACCAGGAAATCCCAGCAGGGCAGGCTAAACTGAGAAGTTGAGAAGATGCCCAGATGATGGCATTGACAAAACACTTCTGTGTTGTTGCGTAGTAAACAACACCGGCAGATCTATGGAGTCTCCGGGAATCGAGGTCTACTTGACCTTTACGTTTGCTTGTGTCAGAATGCATTACTTGTCATTGCGGTGGAATATTAACTTCACGCATCATCAGCACCGTATCTTCTAATTCGATATCCGGCCTCTCTCACCTCACGGTCCTGCCTCCGTTAAGCTCTTCGCGCCGAGCCCTCATTCGATGCCCTTTCTGCAGTTTCTTTCCACCCACCCCCTCCTTTTTCCGCCTTAATGGTTTGATCCTCCTTGAGCGGTGCGATCATTTCCAACCCTCCGCCCTCCCCGCGCCCATTTCGCCTCGTTCTTCTTCGAGCGTACGCTTTCGTCTCTCCTGTTTGGTTGGCGCGCGCATTCTACAGTAACCAGCGGCCGCTCACGTCTTATTTCCAACTCCCGCTTGGTTTCTCGCGAGATATTGAACGGCTCAGTCTCCAAGATGGAAGCGCCGGACACAGTTCCTCCGACGGCGGAGAGCTGGCTGCGTACTCGTGATGTCCTTCTCCAGGAGGGGCCTGAAGATTTTGGGTCGTTGCTGCTCTCGGCCCCAGTTCTGGAAGGGCTGAAAGCGGCGGGGTTCCTAAGGCCTTCTCCGGTGCAGCTCAAAGCTATTCCGCTAGGCCGTTGCGGCCTAGGTGAGATGGGGGGCTGTAGCAGTAGGGCTGTGGAGAACAGCCGCAGCCTAGAAGGGAGGCTTGGGGCTAGAGTGATGCTGCAGCCTAAATCTCCGGGTGGGGGAGCCGTATCCCGTTGTCCGTTCGGATGATGGAAAAAACTTAGGAAATTTGAAAGCTTTTGGTAGAGAGCCGCGCTTATTCTTGCAGGGGGGCTCTCCCCCGATCTCTAGAAAACCTTTATCGTATCAAGGAAGCCCTATCACTTTTCGGATAGCTGGTTGGTATTTAGTGCAGCCTAATTCGCTGGGGGTGTTGTCACCGTTTCCTTGTGCTTCTGCTTGTGTGTTACACTTCCAGAGTTCAAGAGAAAGTAAAGCAGAAGGTGGGATTCAGAGGTGCCAGTGTAGTTGGCGATATGTGACTTGGTGTCTCTTGGGTTTCTTGTTTCACTGCCTGTTTTGAATTTTTATCCTTTAAAAAAAAAAAGTGAGAAATTTGCATGAGGAAAGCAATGCACTACTCTCCACTTTAATCTTTATTTCCCAAAATGCCAGTTCTTTGTTTAGAATTGTCTTGACCAGCCATAAAACTACTAGAGTGAAGCAACATTAGTAGGGAGTATCCTGGGGAAGGAGACAGAGTCTAGAAATCATATTGAGTAGCATACTGGTAAATTGGTGCTTTGTAATTGATTGGGTCCCCTGGGCCAGACATATTGTGAAATGGAAATCCAGCATATGCAAGAGCATTCTTTTGTTCTCAGCAATCCAGATGTGCCAAAATTGGTGCTTTTTACTCATTGTAAAAAGAAAAAAAAAGAATAACATTCTGGTATTACATTTGATTTGTTGTCTGAGAAATTTTAAAGGTCTTGTATTTACCTGCTCAGCACAGGTGGCCAGTAATTCCTCACAAGTGGAATTCCCTCCAGTGAAGTAAGTTGACTTAGGAAGGAGAGAACAATCATTTCTCAGTCAAGCGTATTTCCAATATTGCCTGCATAGAAAGGGCTTCATTCTTTTGTGGCTTGCATAGAAGCAAACTGGCAAAAGATGGGTAGATTATAGTATTCTCCTTCTCCTTTGCCTATAAGTTCAATTTGTAGAGAAAGGTGGTCAAAGCCTTTTTTCATTAATTTATTATGCTTCTAGACAGCAGTTTAGTTGCTACTGAGTAGGACAAATGCTCATCATTTTGACCTGTCCCTAGTAATACCTTGCAGCTCTTCCAAAGACAGACTATAATATCTTTGAGCCCACTGATCCAACTTATCAGTTTTCTTCCCCTTCTGTTCTCTTCAACCTTGTTAAGGATAGTTATTTTTTCTAGTCCATTAGTTTGCTCTTATTCCTAAGAAGAGACCTGGCTTAACAAGCGCTTAATACTTGGTGACATAATCAACTCAAGAATGTTTTAACATCTGAATAGGACCTGGATGCTTTGGCTGCATCTGAGAAACCAAAGATGCTATTATACTTGATGGAGTCGATGTCTGAAATTAAACCTACATCCTTTTTGAATCAAAATTAAAAAAAAAATTAAAGTTGACATTGATGGCTCGTGGATTAAAGAATGTGAACACCCAATAATGGAACCTCAATTGTTGCAGGATTTAAAATTAAAACTAATTCATCAAAATATCTTATTTCAAGTCTACTTCACTCCAAAGAATGTATTTGAAAGGATGAATGTCAGATTTTCTCTGTTGGCAATGTAAAAAAAAATTGAGGAGTCATTGACTCTTATAATTTGGCCCTGGAAATCATTGATACCTTTTTGGAATAACATTTTAGTGTATATAAGTAGATTTTGGAGGGCATTTTTTTAAAAATCTTAAGGATGTTAATGTTAAATTATGTCCCAAAACTTTGGAATCTGTCTATTTTTGAAGAGCAGTAGTTTTATCAGGCCTGGGTTGTTGCTGAGAATTATTGAGAAATTGGAATAGTATTCATAATATTAAGGATTAGATTCAAGAAGTGTGCAATTTATCTGTTTTTAAAAAGGCAGTTTTATCTAATAATCAAAAAATGTTGCAATACGTTATTTTATGGGATGGATTTTGTGATATCTTGTAATGTTTATAAATAAATTTTAATTTTTTCATGTAGATTTAGAAATTAGTTTGACATTTGATTAATATGTATAGTTTCCCCCTTTCCTGCTTTTTTACTTGCTTTTTGTTAACTTGGATAGCTCTGTGTGTTGTAATTTTTCGTGTTTCTCTCTTTTTTGTATTATGTATTCTTTTTTATTCTTAAACCTTTTTAAGATAAATAAAAAATGAAAAACTGAGAAGTACTTAATTTTTCTAGTATTCCTACAAACTTAATGGAGCAGTTCTTGAAGATTTCAATTGTGGTTTTGTTTTTGTTTTTTGTTTTGCTTCAGCAGATTAAGACAGCTAGTCTTCTTGAAATTTGTTTTAGGGTATATAGTCTGTTGCCTGATTCATTGTCATAGGGAATGAGATGACAAAGCAAGCAAGTACATTTATGGCATTTTATTGCAATTCCATACAGAAGAGAAAGATTAGTAAGGGTTCTTATTAAGGAAAACTGGTACACTATGAAGGAGTCCTGGTTGTATCCCCTGTTCCAAATACTGATGAAGGAGCACTGTCCTAATTTATGTACAGTAACCTTTTTGTTCTGACTTTCAAAAGTTATCTTGGCTACTTTCTGACATGTAGCTTTTCTTTGTATTTTAGACCTTATTGTGCAAGCAAAATCAGGCACTGGTAAAACCTGTGTTTTTTCTACTATTGCACTTGACTCCCTTATCTTGGAAAGCCCAGTGACTCAGGTAAGGGCAATAGTGTTTAAATTCTGAGAACAACATCCATTTCCAAAGCAAATTCAACAACCAGCTGTAGTGATATAGCTGTTCTGTATGCTTCTGTTCAAGAGTATATTTCTAATGTGTGTATTTATGACAAAAAATCCTGACCTGAGTCTGCTTCTAGCTGACTATATAAATGTAATTAATTAATTCAATTGCTGATTATCTGAGCTCTTCTAAGTTGAGGGTTATTATTCTAGATTATTAGTGTTTTTGTTTGGGGGTTTTTTTGGTCTTGGCTGATCTCAAAAGCTAGATAGTGTTGGACCAAAATTCTAGAACAATTGGCTAGATTAAGAGTAGACAAAAACATTCAAAAGAAGGCGATGTTAAATAATTTCTATTTTGCCAAGAAAGCTGCATGGATGAATCCATGAAGTCACCAAAGGTTGAGCTTGATGTGGTGTGAAGGATACTTTATTTTTAGTTTAGTTTTTTTAAAAGCATTTAATTATATTTGTTTCAGATTCTAGTCTTGGCTCCTACCCGAGAGATTGCTGTGCAGATACATGCAGTAATTACAACTATTGGGATCAAAATGGAAGGTTTGGAATGTCATGTCTTCATTGGAGGAACTCCTTTAAACCAAGATAAAATGAGGCTGAAAAAGTGTCACATAGCAGTAGGCTCTCCTGGTAAGACAATATTGCATTTGAGATGTTTTAATCCCATTTTTTCCTGTGCTGCATAACTAGCAGATGCTATCCTCTCTGTGTGAAATAAAAAAAGTGTTGATATTCAGAAATTCCAGAAAACAAAAATACTTAGACTTTCAAAAAAATTTTTTAGGATGACTTAATGTGATGTTTTCTTGGATTAGATCACGCAAGTTCAACTCCATTCTTTAACAGTGGAAGGTTGCTATGTTATGCTAGTCAGTTGCTATCACTTGTCCCAACCTACCTCCCAAGATTATTATTTTGGGGAAAACTTGGAGGAGGGAATGTTATATATGCTGTCTTGAGCTTCTGGTGAAAAGGTGATATATAAATTTAGTGAAGGAACAAATCAAAAATATTGTAGACATTTTTTGGAGAGAGTACAGGTAACTCGCTTAGTGACTGCCTTGTTTAGTGACAGTTTGCAGTTACAGTGGTGATGAAAAAGTAACTTTATGACCAATCCTTGCATTTACAACCTTCACAGGTCTGTAAAGCAAAAGAAAGCTGAAGTAAGATCATAAGCACAGCTGCAGTTTCACTTAGCGACTGCTTCATCTAATGACCGAGTTGCTGGTCCTAATGGTGATTGCTAAATGAGGACTACCTACCTGTATATGTAGTTTACACGATAGTGCCTCTTTTTTCTTCATTGAAGGTCGCATTAAACAACTGATAGAGCTAGACTATTTGAATACATCCAGTATTCGTCTTTTCATTCTTGATGAAGCAGATAAACTTCTGGAAGAAGGCAGCTTCCAAGAACAAGTCAAGTAAGTATAATTAGTTACACATAATTTCTTCTTTTCATATGTAACTTTGCATAAATATAATTGGGTCTGAGAAATTCATGAATTGGCTTGGAACAAATGTGGGAGTACAATCTAAAATGTAATCCTGGAAATGCAGAAGTTCTGTGGCCTAGGGATCCATTTATTAATTTTTCAGTATTTGTAAACTGCCCCAATCAAAATAATCCTGCCTAGTAAATAATGAGGAAATATAAAGCCCTTCCAGAACGCAAAGAGGATTGCGGCCAGGTCCCTCTCGGGGCTGTATATTCCGCAATGTGGGAGCCATTTCCAAGTAGGTCTGCCTTCTAGTTCACAGCCCTTTTATCTCACATTGAGGTCCTCTCTCCGTACCTGGACATAACAGGATCCTGGTTAGCAAGGTAGCCAGTGATATTGATAATGTTGCATAAATTGTTCTCATTGGGGTTATTGTCTTTCTGAAGAGCTGGCCACAGTATGAGAATGTTATATGAATGACCACCTTCATCAATACTGCATCTGTGCACATCATCTAGGGAGTCTTTGTTTGCCTGTCAGGACTGGTAAAATTGGGGTGCAGTAGAGTCACTCCTCAATAGTTGTTTTTTTTTAAATTTTTTGAAATTTTCTAGTATTTTTACACATTGCTGGTCTACTTTAGTGTTTTGCTTTGAAGATCTTTACTTGAAGCAACAAAGCATTTCATAAAGTAATTGTCAATGTTTCTTCTGATGTGAAGCTCTCTTATACTTCCTATCTTCTTAATTTTTGTATGTTGCACTGGAAGTGTTCATCCATAAAATGCTACTTATCAATATTTGAGGCAATTGAAATTACAGTATGTATACATTAATTGATACAAAATATTTACTGTGAATCATGTTTTCTTTTTTCCACATCTATCTTAGTTGGATTTATTCTTCTCTACCAGCCAACAAACAGATGTTGGCAGTTTCAGCCACCTATCCTGAATACTTAGCTAATACTTTGACTAAATACATGAGAGAACCCACTTTTGTGAAGCTGAATCCTACTGACCCAAGTCTTATTGGTAACTATAATGAGTTCTTTTCATTTTTGCACAAATATCCAGTATTTGTGGAATTTATGATTAATTGTGCATCATATAAGTTATATATTCTGTGCAACTGTTTTGTGTAGTAATGCGTCAACCAGATATTGTGTTGCAAATATGTTAATTGTTAAATTTGTATTCTTCTCTACAAGGCATTTTTGATTTTGCATATGATATATAAGCCTATTCTGTTTTGGTTAGGATTGAAGCAGTACTACAAAGTTGTGAATTCTTACCCATTACCTCATAAGACCTTTGAGGAGAAGGCTAAGCATTTACAGGAGCTGTTCAGCAAGATACCGTTCAACCAGGCCTTGGTTTTCTCGAATCTACATAGCCGGTATTTTGAGGTTTTTTTGTTTTGTTTTTTTTTAATCTAGAAATGCTCAAACAATAGAAATATTTGGGGATTGGTAGTCATATGCATTACATGAATGTCAAAATGCATATGATACTGAGGGACAAGGTAAGAATTAGGGCTCTGCATTCCTAAAAAATTATTTGGAAGAAGTGTCTTAGCCCTCACCCATGCACAGCATCTCTGCTGTTCAGTAAAGCAGCCCACATTTTTTCAGGCTTCTATTTTAATGAGTAGCATAGAGGCTGTGAGGTGGAAGCATGTCTTCCAATCATTTTCAAAGCATGCACAGCCCTAGCAAGTATGGTTAAGACCATTGGGTCCATTAATTTATAGGATTGAGATGTTTGGTCATTGAAAGCTAAGCACATTGCATAAGACTGAATATTCTTCTCTAGAAAACTTTGTTAATGTTTTTTTTAAAAGCCACTTGCTTTTAATAAATTTTTAAAAATCAAGAGTTTATTACTAATGGAACAGATGAAGCAATCAGAGGAAAAAAGTTCACAGTGTAATAATGTATCTTCATAAAAAGCAATATAGTTTTATATAAACATAGCCATTTTATTTAATATTCTGCCACATATTCTTATAAGGCAGTTTGAGTAGCTGACAGAGGCAACTAATAAGATGAGGGGGAGGTCTGTATACAAACACACACGCGCACACACACACACACAGTCTCTCTTTTCCGGTCTTTTTATTTTTGTGTCTCTCATTTTAAAGAGCTCAACACTTGGCAGATATATTGGCATCCAAAGGTTTTCCTGCTGAGTGTATTTCAGGTAAGCTTGTAGGTCTCTGTTGTTACTTTGTTGAGTATTGTATACATAACATTTGTTGTATTTAAAGGTACGTGCATGTGAATTCAGCAAGTTTTGCTCCTGAGTAAATATAACAGTGTGTTTATTTAACTGGTATTGAATGATATTGTACTGTTAATGAATGTAGTTCTCCAGTTTTAATCCCATTCCTATTCTTGTGCTCACCCCTCTCTCCCGCTGTTCCTGGAATATCTTCCTGAGATGGGTGCAGATCTGAGGCATGTGCAAGGCGGTGGAAGGAACCCAATGACAGGAAATTCCAGTGTGAAATAGAAATCTACTCATGTAATGTTTTTGTGTACAGTTTTGTATATCCTTAATTTCTAAGGCATAGCTGAAATGTTATAAATTGAATTCTGCTCTCAGCATTCTTGCCGAGGAATTCTTGCCTGAGAGTTATATGTAAATTCACTGAAATCTGCTGATGACTAAACGTTATTGCTTTCTTCAAGCTTGTGTGTCAGCCAGGTTTCATAGCAATTCAGCTAGTAGATTTCATGTTTTTCTTTCACTTCCCTTTTGCATTATTTATTTATCTTTGTTTTTCTAGGCAGTATGAATCAGAACCAGCGACTTGATGCCATGGCTAAGCTCAAGCAGTTTCATTGCAGGGTGTTGATTTCAACAGATTTGGTTAGTTGTCCTATTTAATCTTAAATAGCTAGTAAAAGTACTTAATGCAAGACTGACTCAAGGAACCTAGAAATGTTAACCAAAGCAAACATACTCTTGTAGAAAACAAAGCATTCCTAGAATTGCCCTTTAACATTAGAGCACCATTATATAAAGAATTCCCTATCAGAAGCTTTGCTATTTATTCCTGTTGCATTTTATTGTACCATGTTTCACAATATTTGTGGGAGAAAGATAAAATACTGACTTTAGATTTAATTCTAATTTATATTCCAGAAAAAATAAATGTATTGAATATTTTTGAATATGCTTGATTTTTTCTGAATTGTGCCTGCTGCTTTAATGGAATTGTTACTAGCGTACACTTTCATAGAGTGTAGCTTGTTGTATTAAGGAAACTCTCTTTGAACTGGAGCACAGGGCTCCCTATTGTAATTATGTATTTGAACTTTCATTTGACCAAGCCATTAAGAATCTTCAGTGTTTTTCCTTTACAACATTGGAACAAGTAGGAAAAAAATCTAGGAAGTTAACTTCTCTAATTTGCTTGGCTCATGAGCACTTTTTGCTGCTGCTTTTGTTGCAGACTTCCCGTGGAATTGATGCTGAGAAGGTGAATCTGGTTGTTAACTTAGATATGCCTTTGGATTGGGAAACATATATGCATCGGATTGGTAGAGCTGGACGCTTTGGTAAACGCTCCTTTGAGTTGTTACTTTCTAGAAGGTAAATGGATCAATAGTTTTGTCCAACTGATTTTCATCTCTGCTTTATTATAGGAACTTTAGGACTAGCCGTGACATATTGCTGTCGTGGAGAAGAAGAAAATATGATGATGAAAATTGCACAAAAATGTAACCTTCAGCTTCTTTCTTTACCAGGTAGGAATGTCTCTTGTACATGATCATAATTTTTTGAATTTAAGAAGTGCCTTTGAGAATGGTGTCCCAGAGATAATCACAATTAGATCACAATTGTGTACTGTTGCACTGTTAATCATGCATTCATAGTCCTATTACTCAGAATCCTAATGTTTAATTAAAAGTTTCTGAATGGAGGAATTATTTCTGTGAAGTTATAAATTTCACATGATGAAGAACTTCAGTTCATATTGCAAATAATTGAGATGTGAATATTTTTCAGTGTCACAAATGCACGATTGTAGAATACGCTAATCATGACCATTCTGGACATTTTGCATTGGTGCCAGGGAAACAGATTACTTTATCTGCTAAAAGTATGTTCAGAAATGGTTTAAAACAAGGTAGAGAGAAATTTAAAGTTGAGTTTAGCAACAGGTGTACTTCCTAGAAGATGGAGAACATCTTCTTTTGGATGAAGTCAGAAGAAAATGTCAGGACTCTTTTGGTTATTCATTATCCTGCACTTTTAGAGGCAGGAGGAATTGAACTGTACCATTGTAATTGTTCTACAGCACTGTGTACCATCATTTAGCTTATGGCAACACTTTTGTTTATCTTTCCTCCTTTTAAAATGAATACTTGTAACAGTTAAAAATATATCTGCTATGTACAGTGGTACCTCGGGATACGAACTTAATCCGTTCCGTGACTCTGGGCGTATCCCG